GCTTTTTTTCCGCCACAAAATACACCAAAAGCAGTGAAGAAGACCCCCCGAGCATGGTTGCCATGGTTGCCATGGTTGCCTGGTTGCCCTTCTGTTTATTCTCCACGGTGGATTTAGCAACATGTAGTTCATGTAGTTCTCCATGTCCACTTGGGTACCACTTTACAATAAGACTACCCTTATAAAGGGTTTACGAATAGTTTGTAATTAATTAATTAATTACGTTGTGAACACTTAATAAATCATTAACAAGCTTTTATAAGACATGAGATAAACAGGGCAAATGTGACCGGTTGCTTGCCAAATAGTGAGCCCACATTTATCTGTACGGCCAAGCCTTATTAGAAATGGTAGTAACTCATTAATAAATGGGAATGTGATTTACTAATGCGTAGTACTGTAAAAAGCACGACCAATCATTTTAGCCGGCTTGGCTAAAATAACTGGATGGCCTACCTGCCTGTCAGCTTTCCATCTGTGCACAAACTTATCTCGTGCCCTCATTGGTCATGTGCTGGTTCGTGTGTTTTGGAGGAGGGGCTCTGTAAGGAAGTGGCAGATTTGTTCCGGCTGTGTATTTTCAAATTCTAGCGCACTCAAGCTGGTTTCTCCAAAATTACCACCTTTTAATGTTGCTCTCAAAGTGCACCAGATTGATGCTTTTAACTTCAACATTTAAAAAACAATCTTCCCGAGGGAGCATGCCCCCCGTACCCCCCTAGAGGAGGTTAGGTCCACCCCCCCCACTTAAATCATGTTCACATGGATAGGAAACTAAATACATTTGCACACATCTTGTGTCCATATCTTTCTGTTTTGGTGGTCATGCCACAACCGTGCACGTGCATGCATCGAGTCATGGTAAGATATCTGGATTAAGAGGTTGCTTTTTCTTTGCACAGCCTGAAAGAAAGGCCAAATGAATGGGCTCTGATTTTAGTATTTTTAAGCAATGGTCAATAATTTGTACGGCCCTCTGAGGATGTTGAAAAAAATTGAAATGGCCCTCGAGAGAAAAAAGGTTCTCCACCCCTGGTCTATAAGATAGAGAACTGTAGTGGATACGACCTGTTTCGTCTCCGTGTGGCTGCAGCCTCAATCTGTAGTTTTTGGTAATACTGAATATCAGGTCGAAGATAACTTCTCTAAATGTGCAGCAAAAAATAACAAATAAATTGCGACCTAGCCACAATGACCACTGACAGATTGCAGGTATTAAAAGCAAATAGGATTCAATTTGGTTAAGTTATTTAATTATAACTCTGAAGGTTAAAAACGGACAGGGCTTTCATAAAGTCTGGAGATGACACAGAGTTATTACAAAATCATTTTAATGAAGACAGTATAATGACACTTCACTTTACCAGCTAGAGCACAATGAACAGAAAGTCCTATAAACTGTAGATTATAATACAGGTACACTCAGGTGCTCTCCCTTGTGTTGATGATACCACCTGGTGTGGTATCATGAGGGTCAGCCAATAGAGCCGGCTGGAATCACAATTGATTTAGCAGGGGGTTTCATGAAGCACCAAAAACGCTTCAGACAACTTACTGATGTGTCACTTGTCTTTCCTACGGTTCAATACAACACAAGTAATCATGAGATTCAAAGTTTTTGCAGGAAACGGGTAACGTAGTTATTTTCTTTTACATTTAAAATTCATTTCCCAGTGCTTTTATGAAGGATGTGCAATGTCAGATACAAAGGTTGTGAATATATTCAAAAGGGCTTTTGAACCAAAGCAACTTTGGATTGTACATAAAGACGCACAACAACATTTATTAGAACAATTGCTTAATGAGCTAAATGTGATACAAAGACTTGATGCCCATTATAGTTAACTGTATCAGTCTTGTAATCACTTTGATGCCCATTATAGTTAACTGTATCAGTCTTGTAATCATAGGTGCTTCCTTTTCAAATTTACCAAAATATAACATTTATTCTCACTTCTGTTTGTTGCAAAGCACACAGATGTTATACACATTATGTCTTTTAACTGGCAGTATTACTTCATGTGTAAATATAATATAGCTTAAAGTAGGGTTAGGTAATCTTGGAGAAACCAGCTCGAGTGCGCTAGAATTTGAAAATACACAACTGGAAAAAATCTGCCACTTCCTTACGGAGCCCCTCCTCCAACACACACAAACACGCACATGACCAATGAGGGCACGAGATAAGTTTGTGCACAGATGGAAGGCTGACAGGCAGGTAGGCCATCCAGTTATTTTAGCCGGGCCGGCTAAAATTATTGGTCGTGCTTTTTACAGTACTACGGCTTCCACAGATGACATTCTTTTATGGATTTTTTGTCAAAGCAGTTAAGATATTCATTGCTATCGGGATGTTAAGAGCATTCCATGGAATATAACACAAAGTGTATCTCGAGCCGGTTTTTCAAACTTACCTTCCCCACCTTTAATAAGACAGTGATTTCTTTAATATAGAAATAAAACAATTTGCATTCACAAATCAAAATCATTCAATGTTAGTCGCTATAAAACAGTGTTTGTATAATACAAATCTCAGTTGAATGAATAGTTGAATAGTAAGATTATCAGATTTAATTTAACTGTAAGACACTGAGTTTAATAACAATGTGAAATGACAGTTCAGTGCACTAGATCTACATATTTTGAAAGATAGTGCATAGTTTGGTTGGAAGTCTGAGAATATAAACCGCTATGGTTTGGACGTGTTGATACATAAATACCTTTTTGCTGTATACTGTACTAACAGATCCCACTTCCCACTTGTATCTCAGCGATGCATGCAGAGTTGTCCTTGGCTGCTTGAAATAGTAAACCGTATGAGTAAGACTTGCAGGCAGGCGAGCATCTTTTTATACTGCTTGGCTGTGAAATCCTTGAAATAAATGATCAATGCACCAGTCCTTAATTAATTAAAAAACACTTTGCCAAGTACGTCAACAATGTTATTTTTTCAAATTATTGGTGCTATATCTTTAGTAGAGCTATTTAATATACTGTAGCTCCCTCAAGGAGGAAACATTTTTGGAAATAACTACAAGCCTGATTGTCATTAAAGATCAAACCACATTCATGTGAGGTCTGAAATCTTTTTTTTTGATTTTTTTAAAATTACCGGCTGCAAATGGCTAACGTTAACTAGCTCTACCCCTGATGATTTTCAGATGTCTTGTTGTTAAAAAAACATAAACAAAATCCCATGAAAGTTGAAACAAAACTGAGAAAGTCCAAAACAAAACACTCATTAAACTCATTAACAAAAAACGACTTCCCAACTCTGAAAATGGGATTACCAAAGGAGCATGAATGCACCATTGACATTGAATCTCCAAGTGCCATATTAGTTTGACTATTAACAGACCAATAACATTTTTACTTTTGCTTCACAACAATTTTACACCCATCCCGACAACTGTATGAACTATTCACCTCCAACACTTGAAATGTTCACCTCCAACCACTTGTCTCAAACAAGCCAGTTTGGATACATTCAATAAATGTTTCATATGGAAATAAATTATAAATATGTTTTAATTCAAGCTAATAAACAGATCACTAAAACTAATCTCAGTTCTAATACGGGGGCTTCAACTAGCATAACCACACATATGCTGGTACTGATGAGAGGCACTATTACACCAAACAAACCTGGTTCAATACTGATGCTACTTCTTCTATCAACCATGGAAATGTACGTATCAATGCGATGTCCATTGGCACTGACGAGATTTCCATATGGAAGGTTACCTTAAAAATGAGACATCTACAACTTTAAAGTGAAATTACATTCACAAAATAAAAAAATACTTTTTTATGGATTTTAAGTCATTTACAGTAGGTGAACAGTTTTGTTCTAACAGACTCTTTTATTTTGGAAATACTGAATGATAACGTTAGCTTATGAATCTTTCCAAAATGGATGCTGCACAACATTCTAGAAACCAACCTGAATAACTTACTTCAAAAATGTATGTATCAAAGGCTTTTCTTAAATGAACTCAGTCAGTTGCTTATACTCATGGCTCACCAACTCATCCCTCATGTTTTTAAGTACTATGACTTTACATACCATAAAAAAACAAATAATGGTTTGGATTATTAGAAGCACAGGCTCTCTACGCTTAAACTGTAGTCAAAAGTGGCCCAAATCAGATTTTTCTTTGTGTGAATATGTGACTCTATTTTTTACATAATAGTACTAATCACATTTAATATAATCTTTTTAGTTTTTGATTTGTGTCACTTTCCCTTGTGGTCCTAAATCATGAATCCATGCACATTTGTTCTAAGGCTTGCAGTGCAAGCAAAGTATTAATCATCTGTAGCTGATAATCAATTCAACAAAGGTTTGAGCTTTTTAAAACGAGTTTCCCCTGTAACTGTGTTCTTCCTTATTAACTTGTGTGATAAACTGAAGACTAGATCGTTCCTTTCCCTAAAAATAAATACATTGACAAAATATAAATAATTGTTTTGGTTAAAAGATTCAAATGCATCACCTTGAACCAACACCTAGCAGTGTAGCAGCGCCCAAACAGTATCTATAAATTGTCCAGTTAAGCATTTCAACAATACCGAATTAACCAAAGGCCCCTTATCATCAATTAGATAAATAATGAAGGTTTTGTCTCTCGAACAATGTTGATTTAATAGAAATGATATACTATGTCTTGGTATATACTGGCTGTACTGCATTTGTGACATATCTTAGGGCTGCTCAATTAATCGCATTTTAATCGCGATTACGATTATGGCTAGCAACGATTACAAAAACAACGTAATCGAAATAAAACGATTATTTTTTTATTATTATTATTTATTTATTTTTATTTTTTTCAATTGAATTATACTTGAAGTTCAGGGTAATCAACTGTTAAAAACATACTGTTCACGTTTTTTTCTCCAATAAATAGATGTTTTCAAAGTCAATGAATAATCGCATTTAATAATCGCAATTACAATTATTGACCCAAATAATCGAGATTGTGATTTTTGCCATAATCGAGTAGCCCTAACATATCTTATGATTAACTTTTGTGTTTAGTTTAAGCAGTTGGATCAATGACTATATATTCATCACTGAGCCCAATGAGGAACAGTGGTTGAGACCAAGTCCTGTGACAGTACACTTCACCTTAAGTAACCGTCTTTAATTCTGCCCATCACATGCACCACCACATACACTCCAGTGCTTGCTGCTGTCTAGCAACTCCACCCACAGTCAGCAGCTTCTCCTAAATACAGACTGAGGTTCAGCCCGGTGCTTACACACTCCCTCATACTGTCACTTCTGTTTTGCTGTTGGTGACAAAGTATGGCTGTGGAGGCATGTAGCGAGTTGTGTGCAGCTCCTTCTCTATGATGCAGAGTTTCTTTGATCCGTAGCTCTGTCGCAGCCCCAGCATGTCCCTGTTCTCCCAGGAGCTCAGCAGCCCCTGGCTGGTGGCAGGGCTGGAGCCGTAGGCCAGCCACTGTGAGCTGTGGCTCCGGGGGCTTTTGTACTTGTATCCGTTCTGCTTTGAAGACACCTGTCTGGGTGGGCTGTATGGGTTGCTCGGCTCTGGCTCCATATCCACAGCTTCCATGGGAAGGCTGCCCTTGGTTGTCATCTCCATCACTTGCCGCCGGTTGCCGTATAAGCTGTCATTCGCTTTCTCTGCTAACAAACACAGATAAACATCATGGTAGTCAGGGTTCAGTTATAATCTGAGCTTTATGGGGGTCTTTCAAACTAACAAGCACACACACACGTCCAGCAGCAGCAGCCCTCTACTTGCTACAAACTTAAATATGAAAAGGTTCTACACACACACATCATCTCGGCTCGCGCAGCACGCACACATGCATAGATTGCGCAATAATAGATTGTGCACCTTGGAGGTGAAGTGCAGGCATATTGTTATTCAATAGAGAATACGATGCGTAGTTCTTTTGGAAAACATGTTTTTCTTTTAGCCTATTTACCTTGTTAATGTACATAATACTCATTACATTGACACATGCATTGTTTGTGATTACAATAATGGTTGTTGGTAATGTATTAGCGACCCCCACAGATGTATGATTTCACTGCTTTCATAGGAGCTCAGACCCCTCCTTATGGGAGCTCAGCTCCCATTGGCTCACATAACTTGAACCCTGATGGTAGTTCTTTATAATTTCCCCTTCATTAGCCATTGTATTAAAGGTCACCTATTATGCAAAATCCACCTATTCATGTCTTTTATACATCAACATGTGTCCCCTCTGAGTGAAGACATTCTGAAAGTTTCAGGAAAAAAGATTCTCTCTCTTTTGTCCTGATCCATTTATATGGACCTGAATCTAGCACCATTGTGGTTTTTTTAACCAAATATCTCCCAGGTATCTAAAGTAACAGACAGAGAATGAGCACTTTGGAAACAGGGCTGAAACAGATGGGATTATGGGATGCTGCAATGATCTGTTTGGTATTTGGAGCCAAACACTTCAGAGACATGCTTTGTATTTCTGAAACCTATAATAAAGTAATGAAAAACAGAATAATAGAAGATCTTTAAATCTTGAGTGCCGGAATAGACATACAGGTAAATAAATGGACCTCAAGTTGAAATGTGCATCACAACTCACATTGATCATCCAAATTAGGCACACTAACAAGTTTGGTGGAAAGTGCGATGCATACAATGTAGTTTGAATACAGACTTTATTAATCTACAGTTTATACACCAGTGTATGCATTAACCTGTAATAACCTGTAATTACAGCTTGATGAATCAAGAAATTCAAGATTCAAGCCTTTAGTCATGTGCACAGTAGCTACAGTGTATATAGTAATGAAAAACTTAAAGGTAGGGTATGTAATTCACTTCAGAAACACTTTTTGTTATATTCCATGGAATTCTCTTAACATCCCGATAGCAATGAATACATTAAATGCTTTGACAATAAATACATTAAAAAATGTCATCTGTGGAAGCTATGGCGCTGTAAAAAGCACGACCAATTAAAATAACTGGATGGCCTCCCTGCCTGTCAGCCTTCCATCTCGTGCCCTCATTGGTCATGTGCGCGTTCATGTGTGTTGGAGGAGGGGCTCTGTAAGGAAGTCTGAAGGAAGGGGAGTTCTAGCGCACTCAAGCTGGTTTCTCCATTCTTACCTACCCTACCTTTAAGTCACAGGCTCCTCAACAGTGCAACATGATTATATATAGGACATAAAACAAATTAAACAGATAAAATAGTGCAAGAGAATGTAGAAGAAGAAGAATAAATACTGATCATTGGTTGTTGTGTTTTCCAATTAGAATTCCATTATCTCTGAACCTCTGCTGTGTTGTTGATGCAGTACCCCTAATAACACATCATGTTAAGTTTCCTTAAGAAATTACAGATAACATTTGATTTTCGTTTTTAGAACAAGGAACTGTGTTCTTTGGCTTGGTTGATGTTTTCTTTGAGTATCTTTCGAAGAGATAATAAACAGTTAAGAACAATATCGATTTTATGAGTTTTTTGTTGCCCTGTTATTGTCTGCAAGTATTCATTATAGGCTACAGAGCCTTAACAACCTCCACCAATAAGTTGGGGCATCCGGAGAGGCGAAACCAAGGGCATATAAAGTAGGGCTGTGCGATTATGGCAAAAATCATAATCACGATTATTAAATACGATTATTCATTGACTTTGAAAACATCCATTTATTGAACTATAAAACAAATACAAATAATAATGTGAACAGTACCTTATAACTGTTGATTACCCTGAATGTATAATTCAACTGAAAACTTTAAATAAATAATATCAAAATAACCAATAAACAGGATCAACAAATATTTGAGCGCACTTCCAAAAGCTACTAATCATATATAAATATGATAAATACAAATAAATTAGACCAAAATAAATTAGATCAAATATGATGCAGTGTACTGTCACAACCTACTGTAGCAAAGCAAAATAATTGTTTTATTCGATTATGTTGTTTTCGTAATTGTGGCAGGCCAAAATCGTAATTGCGATTAAAATACGATTAATTGCATAAATTTTTTTTTTCCAATTAAAAGATTGCAAGTTCAGTAAATAATTATACTTCAACTCCAACATTTGTTTATATCTCAGTATACGAAATTATTTTAGTAAACCACTGGTAAAAAAGGCTGAAGTTATTTACAGTCGATCTCTTCACAATATACCTACCTTGCATTTGGCATTAGTCTTGGAGAGTAATTCAGTTGCTTTTTGCTCATAAAATCACTGCAGTTGGTGGTTTCACACTCAAATAGGTGCAGACAATGTTGAAAAACCTATTCACTTGTTTCATATTCACTAGTTAGACTCTTTTTATCCAAAGCGACTTACATACTTCAATACTGTGGGCAATCCCCCCAAAGGGAGCAATTGGGGGTGAAACTGTCTTGCCCATGGACACAAACGAACATTTGCTGACGCAGTGGTCTGAATCTTGTGACCCCCCTGATCCGAACACAAACGGCTCTATCCACTGCGCCACACGCCTCCTTGAGCACTAATTGACCATGGCACACCAAGCTCCAGAATTAGTAGGTCTGTTTTTTGGCAGTGAAATGTCACTTTTAATTTGGACTCTTCATCTGGGTTTCAACATCACGGTACAGGAAAGAGATGTTTTTAGGAGCAGCCACATCCTGCACAACCCAATATGAGTGCTTGATTAGAAAGAAACAATTATCCAGGTTTCCCACGAATCTGATTCTATTTGTGGGGCAACCGCCCCCCCCCCCCCGGCAGGAAAAGCCAAAAGGCCCCTTTAACCATATCGGGTGGTCCATGCATCCCCCACCCCACCCCTCAAATAATGATAATACATTGCGTGTTCATGGCTTACTGTAGGACAACGATTCTTCGTTGCTCTGGTTGCATTAGTTAATGGTGCAACACCCCAGAGTTAAGGGAATCCGTGGGGTTTCTTCTCCCAAAAATTATTCATTTTTACAATTTACAAATTCAGGATTCGCAGGACGCCTTATTCCAAAGCGCTAACAATGACCCAATTAACAGGGACATTCTCCCTGGAGTAAACCGAGGGGCTAAGTGCCTTACTCAAGGGGGGCACACATAGTAAGTGGTGTCCATGCAGGATTTGAAAACTTGCAACTTCCAAT